ACGCGCTTTTGCATTAAATTATTTAATGTCTTATGTAAATCTATTATTCATTTCAAATTCTAATGATTAGGCTACAATATGAAATGTCTTTAGAGAAGTATTTTTTTTCTTCTATTGAAACTAACCTTCGAAACACTCAAAATAACTTTGGCGAAGATTATTAAGCCCACGTGAACATTAGGTGCTATCGTCGCTAATGTTTAATACATACTGTTTTAGAATAATATTATTAATAGCAATAACTATTTATTTTTTATTTGCCTGCTCAAAATAATCCCCTCGTATTCCGGAAAAGTCATAATATTTATTTACTTAAATTCGCTATCGTACTCTTTCTCTTACTTAATTTAATTTATTAAAGCAAAGATTTGCCGCCCGTTTTTATACAAAAAAAAATGGAGTCAAGTAATTGATGTAGCAGATTAAAAAAAAAAACATTTTCGATTCTAAATAAGTGTTTCCGGTATAGATTCTTTTGCTTGAAGAAAATAAAAATTTTAAAACGTCGTTCTAAACACACGACATGTATTATATTCATAGTGGATACACGTGCCCACGCAGTTTCCCGGTTTCGAGTTAATTTTAGAAGTGTTGCATCGCATACTCTTGACAGAAACTAAAATCATGATAAATTCGGAAAGTGCATAAGGTTCATAATTATTCTAGCGTATTTTATTGGAGAATAATTACGTAATAATAGATTTTTTTTATGTAGTTATGATTTTCTTCTTCAATATTTTGCAATAGCATTGGGAATTTAGGAAATGTTTTACGAAGAAGGCTTTTAAAGTACCTACACGTTTATCAGTTTTAATTGTGATAAACAAAATGTAGCAGAATTTAAAAAAAATCTAAAACAAGAAACGAATAGAGATTATATAATTGTTTTCGTGTCGAACGATAAGACATAGTCGGGGCAAAACAAAAAAAAAACAAACATACTTAAACATCGTCACAGGGGCGATTTCCCGATCGAATGAATTACGTAATACAGAAAAACAACTCGTGTGTTCCACGGCCTAATGAAGTATTTCAGTCAGTCAACATTATTCTAAATTAGAACTATTAATTTTCCTATTTCTCGATGTTGTTCGTATTTTAAATTTTTAACAGAAATTTTATACAACGTGAATGTTTTTAATGTGCTTACAACCAAAACATATTCTTTTAGGCTTAGACTTCATTAGGGTTAATTATAATTTATTGAATTACGTAATTTTTTTTACATTCCTATTAACTTTTCGTAGAAATCAACCAAAGTGCAGTTGTTCTAGATAAGTTCTTTCTAGAAAAGTTTTAATCATTGTTTTTAACACTGTTTGTAGGGAATGAACAAACATTTAAAATTTAGAATTCTTTTAATGAAATCAAACATGTCACATTACAGACACGATCGTCGTCGTACGACGCCATGTAATAATCGAAATGACCTTAAATGAAACTGTTTGTATGTAACATTTCATTAAACAAAAATTCCAGTTGTAACTAAAAAAAAAAGACTTATTTATTGTATAAATGTGTAATTCTTCACTCTGTTTACAATATCTATCACCTTAATAATGTAAATATATTATTTTGTTTTTTTTATGATCAAATTGTTTGCCAAAAAAAAGAGTTCACAGTATGAATTCAACTCTATTTATCATATCGAGAGAGCTTCATGCAATATAATGGATTACATAAAAAAGTTAATTAGACAAACTTTGCAGTCCCTAATTTGTGTTTGAATAAATATGGAATTAATGATTTCATTTGGAACAGAAATAAATAAGCTTTTGCTAAGGCATTCCTAAATATTCACTGGTTAAAAAAACCAAAATAATAAAATTCTAGTCACATTTAATATACAAAAAAATCTATCTTCTTTGATACCATATTGTAGTAAATTCTCTGAATTCTCTTAAGGTCATTTTGATCAACACTTATGAATAAAATGAGAAACAGCAATGAAACAAATAAATCCCTTTGGACGGTACAATTTTAAGATGACATCATAATACAAACATATAGACATAAAAGCTTCACATTGATAAAGCATATTCATAATGGAGATTCCCTGGTCATTGAAATATAATGTTTACATAAATTAAAGTACTTTCTAACTATGCCTCAAACTACTCTGGATTTCCTGATAATTTAAATCTTATTAAACTTCATCATCATTAACATTTCAAACAATATCTATTTATAACCCATAGCTTTAAATTTCAAAATTGATTTCTTTACTCTTTTTGTGTTCAATTAGCTTTTTATGACTTCTATTAAATAATGAATATCATTTAACTCAACCAGCTATGAGAAACTATACCAATAAACAAATTAATGACAATATATTACCCATTCATTATTAATAAACATGAGACTAAATTTCTTGTTTAAAATATGTTCAAAGCAAATAAAAGGTATTTTAAAACAAAATACAACCATAATAATATAAAAATAAATTCTTGCGAATCGGTTGAACATAACAGTTAACTAGAAAACATTATTTTTTTTTTTACACACAAAAAGGTTCAGATACATTACTAAGCATATGTGGAATTACTTTTCAAACATGAACTCATTCATAATTATTTTTTTAGGTAACATGAAAATATTGTAATCTAACATTGATTTACAAAGGAAGATACAATATCTCATTTCTACTTAATCTTGATAATAAAACTGTCAAAAATATAAACAAGATTACTTCTTTAAACAACAAAACTTGTAATAGATTTGTTATTTAATATTCAATTAAAACAAAGATATTATTTCCTTTTAATATAATAACCATTTGCACACATTTTAATTGCTATCAGATTTTCTATCTTATTGCATAGATGTTATGGAACCAGTGCAATGCAATGTTCTGCCCTGATACCTTGACTTGCAAAATAGTTTATCAATATAACATCTTGTATGAGTATATTACTATTCCATTTTAAGCAAACAACAAAATCTAAGAGCAGGCAGAATCCATGTGATGTTATAGTTTCTGAATGATTTATTATTATTCTGAATGATTTATTAAACAATTAATATTTAATGCAATTTTTTTTTAATTCTTGTTTCTATGAAGCCATGTCAAGCTTTGAAATTATTGATTTAACAATGGGTATAGTTGTGTTGTATGTTCTTCTAGATTCTATCAGGAGTTTCTTACATCAAATCTAGGAACTGTTTTTTCTTTAATTAACAATACTGTTATTAAATCAGAATTTCAGTGTTTTGTATATTCTGATATATTTGTTAAATCAGTTTTAGCCATTACTTTCTTGTTTTTGAGTTGTTTAGTGGTTGTTCAACTAATGGGGTATTGTTGTAAACAAACGTGGCGAATCAGAGTAGTTTGAGACAAACAACTACAATGTCAGGTGACCAGAAAATCTTGGCAAAGCATGGTACTTACCTTAAAAATTGGCCTGGGGTGCCTCGGCTGGGAAGCAGCCGTAGAAGTCGCAGCCGGTGCTGGAGCCGGCGTCGGTGCCGTCACATGATCAGCCGGCAAGGACTCTGGCACAGTCTGAAGAGTAGGCCTCATCGTCGTAGACATTTTAACACCAGTTCACTTTGATCACTTAACACCTCGCTAGTCAAACCTCTCCCTTCGCATCCTCTGCGGTGGTCTAGCGTTTAGCCAGTCCCACCGGCTCCGACCCTCACCAGGACGCCGATTCGGGCCCTGATTTGACTCCGACAACTGACTAACAACGCCCATCTAACCGCATTTTCCAACTGACAATAACATTTCGTCGCCCCAAATGATTTTGTTTGAACCTATTTCACTTTCACGCGTAGACTAACGATCGTCGAGACGGAAAACGGAAATAGACACGCAAAAAACTATTAGAAAGCTTACGGTGTCTTCTCCTGTCACATAAACACAGAAGGAATTGAACGTTTTGACTTAATGTCGCTGTGAACACTGATTTTAGTAGCACAAATAAATAGCGCTTAGAGTACGTAATCGCGCCGTAAATAAATACCAGTACTTTTAATAGTAATATTACTTAAGATTTTCTCTTTACTCTGCTAAAAGTCCTCACATTCTTGAATTCACTCTCAAGATGGCGGATTCTACCTACTCCTCGTAAATGGGCACAAGGCTGACACGAAAACATCAACCGGCCCTCTATTAATCCTTTTCTTTTGATACGGTATAAAAAGAGATGAGACTATGTTAAAGAGTTCATCGACGATTTTGATACGTCACATAAAAACTACCAATGATCATGCGTACAAATAACGTTTTAAAACAATTTGAACGCACAGGTACCGTATCGTTCAAAAATCAATGTTCGTACCTACTTTGATTTTTATAGTAAAGTTAAATTACTGTTTATGGGCTGTTAAAGCAGTTAGTTTGACATTAAAGAAGTAGACGAAGCTTTTCTAAGGCCAATCTGTTATAAATTTCTAGACTGTGAATCTCAGAGTAAAATAATATTTTTAAATTCCTTTTACTTAATTATTTTTAATTGAAATGATTTTTAATTAAAAAATGTACATTCTTATAAAGGTGTTAATTTCAGGAAAGGGTTATCTTAAAAGGATTAAGGAAAATTAATAAACAACAAAAAAAAAACAAAATAAAAATAATTATGAATACTCCTTAGAGAGTAAATTAATGAGTAGCTTAGTGATTTATTTTTAAGGACGTTATTAATTCTGATTTTGCTTTTATACTAAAACAACTTTTTAGACTAATGTATTATAATCTATTGTTTTATTACATTTGTCCACGATTATTTAAAAGTCATGTTTGAGGGTTGTGATTGTAACTACAGTTACATCCATAACTTACGGCTTTACGACACGCTGTGCTACTTTATCCTGTCTTCGGTTACTCTGATAGTATCTTATACTAAGAGTTAATAAAAATGACCAATGTACACACATAATGACCAAAAAAACATTCAACTCATTTCAACAAAAAATTCAACGACATCGTTTCAGAAATAATAGAAATTAAAAAACATTTGAAAACTGGCAATATTAAAACGCCATCTTCTAAAATGGCTGCCTTGTTGTTGGCGACTGTTAGGTGCTTGTTTAGAAATTAGTGTTTATTTCGTTCAGTTTGTGTGTGTTTTGTTAATATAGAATACAGTGATGCGCGGATAATAATTTAAAATTTAATGTCTTGGTAAGTGATACTACCTTTGATCTGCACTTAACTGTGATTGCTTAAAACGTAATAACAATGTCATGTCTTGCAACGTGAGTATTCTCTGCTTTCACATAAACCTCGTGTTATTGTCTTGAAATTGAATTATATAGGATTCAATTATAAAACTAAGGCGTTTAAACTAAAACTCGGAAATGAAGAATACGATCCCAGTTAATATTTACATAAGCGGTGACCTTAAAATTGGCAAGTAATGAACAACAAAAAAGGGACTAAATAGATCTTAATGTTACGACGAAGTTCTCGATGTTTTACCTTAACGTATAATTTCTATGGATTTAAAACGAACCAAGGAGTTTGTTTTTGTGTATAAACATATTGAACCATATCTCCATGTTTCTCAGAAGATCATCTGTAGAATCAGGCAACACAATCTAGTTGACGAATACTCAATAATAACAAATTTTCAAAGATTGCATACAAATTTAGCACAATTTGTCAACAGCTGTTATTATAGATTTATTTGTTTGGCTGTAGATAGATGAATTTTTCTTTGATAAAATCAACCTTAGGACATCCCTCATCATAAACCTTGTATCCATAGGATATACTAAGAGGGGAAATTTTTATATTCAATTACGAAGAACTATCACTAGAACTTCAGTGATTGATTTGTAAGCTTTTCGGTTTTCTGAGTAAAATATACCAAGAGAATGTTGCAATAAGGTCATTGTAAATTAATTTAATGCTATGATGAAATGAGTACGAAAATCTTCCATCCCATTTTCTTGCCTGCATTTTTTAACTAGTCATAATTTGTTTTAATGTTACGTAAGAAATAAGCTTCTAGCCAAGCTTAAACTTGTTTTATTAATTGCTATATAATTTATGGTCTGTATTTTAGTTTTGGTTTCAAAATCAATTCACTATTTTCTAGAGGTTCAAAATGAAATATTGAATACTATTCTAGTTCCTCCTTGGTTTCTCACAAATACAAAAACTTTATAAAACTTCTACATATCTGCAATTGAGATGAGATTTGGAATCTTGTATCAGTAGTTAATTAGCAGTATAATGGAATACTCTTATTTACATTTTGCTTTTATAATCTAATCAAATCTAAATTATATGTAGACATTATTGTCCAAGTCATAATTTATTACCATCAAAAATATAGGATAAATCAAACTCAATTCTGAAATTTATAATTACTTCAAATACCTGTCAGATAATAATGATATTTTGCATCATGTTATTTATTTTACAATTCATTGTTCATTTCAATCTGTAGATTTAATTTTAATTGGTATTCCAATCTCGTGTCTCTTAACCTCTCCGCAGTGTCGGGTATGCACAGCAGACTTCCCACATTTCAGTGCCTTATTGTCATGTCAAATCTCATTATGTGGTTGTCGTTTGCTTTGTGGTGTTAATGATCTCTGGCAACTCCTAATCACTGGTTTACCCTTCTTATACCAAACAGTCATTAAAATTCCATTTGTTTGTTTTAGAATCGAAGATTCACCAACGGGAGAGCATTTTAACATCACTCCCAACTTATTTAGTAATAGTTGAGACCCAGCCAAGATGTCAAAGATGTGGCCTGCGTCCCAATATTCTCACACAAACACCCAGCCTATAAAGGCTACGAATGAACACCAGAACCAGCAAAATCTGAAGACCTTGGGCATGACCTCTGCAATTTCTACAGCAGGTTAGTTACAAAATATGGTTTCCTATAGTTCTAAGGTACGTATGGTTCTCTATGCTTTGGCTATACACGAATGGTGGGTAAGCTTGTAATTAGTTTATACTTTAATGTTTAAAATGAACTATAATCTCTTTGATGTCATAAATCACGCAATTTGGAGCCACTAAAAAGGGTTCCTTTAATATTTTCAGATTAAGCTTACAATACACAAAATTCTTGTGAAATTACAAAACATCTTTATTTTCAGGGCCTAAACCAATTGATATAGAAAAAACGAATGATCTTAAAGTTTCTCTCACACCCTTTGGAGTTTTTGAGTCTGAAGCAGAGATGCACCATAGGATGGAAGTTCTCGGTGCTTTACATCGTCTGGTGAGGCAATGGATAAGAGATGAGTCTTTAAGAAAAAACATGCCGCCTAGCGTCGCTGATACTGTCGGTGGAAATATTTATACTTTTGGATCTTATAGACTAGGGGTTAGTAGGCTTTTATATTGAACAAAAGTTTTTTTTTTTTTCATTTTACGTCATAGTTACAATAACGATTCACTGCTTGCAGGTTCATCATCGCGGTGCCGATATAGACGCATTGTGCGTTGCGCCTCGTCATATAGAAAGATGCGACTATTTCTTAACGTTTTATGACCTTTTAAAGCAACAACCACAGGTAATTACATAAATAAAAAGATTAAACATGTCTTTTAGACCCTTAACTGACTTATTAACTGCAATGTCATTAATTACTTATTAATTTCAATTGCAATTTAATCGCCCTAATAATTTACTTCTCGTACCAGGTTAAAGATTTGCGAGCCGTTGAAGATGCTTTCGTGCCTGTTATCAAAATGAATTTTGACGGAATTGAAATTGACTTACTTTTTGCCAGATTAGCCCTCAAGGAAATACCTGGTAAGTTTGAATTCATATTTATTACTCATATAAACAGTTAATTTACTAATAAAACGAAGATTTCGATCTTGTGTCACCCGGTAGTTAGCAACAATGATATTGTGCTATTTAGGGTCTTTACTAATGACTTAAACTGCAATTAAACAGTCATAATTTAAAAACTAATAAAAGCAAGCTTAAATAGCTACTAGCCAAACTAAAATAAAAAATAGCCTTCAAATTTAATAAAAAACAAAAATCTCTTCATATTTTCATCATTATCCCTTATTGTGTTGAGGAGAATCTTAAGTGAATTTTAAATAGATTACACATTAATGGATTAAATATTTTTTTTTTTTTTATGACCTGATGACAGATACCTTTATTAGGTCATATGTTATTTGGAAAATGCTCATTACTTTGGGATTTAATTTAAAATAACAATATTCTATAAAGATTACATGTCTGTTATATGAATTCGTTTAATTAATTTTCAGATTCCTTTGATTTGAGAGACGATATGCTGCTTAAGAATCTAGATCAGAAATGCGTACGTTCACTGAATGGATGTCGCGTTACCGACGAAATTCTACGTCTCGTACCTAACATAAACAACTTCCGACTGACGCTCAGAGCTATTAAACTGTGGGCCAAACGTGAGTATTCTGAATATATAGGCATAGGCGGTAGGCAGCGACTTGGCTCTGCCCCTGACATTGTTGAAGTCCATGGGCGATGGTAACCACTCACCATCAAGTGGGCCGTATGCTCGTTTGCCTACAAGGGCAATAAAAAAAGAAAAAAAAAGTTAAAGGCATATTGTAAGCCCGGTAAACAATCATTCTGTTTGTTTTTGTCACAGACCAGCCAATGCGGTTTGACTTATCAAATGGCATTTATTTCAATGATATACAGACTTCTCAGGAGTTCATTTCATTAATAGTTTAATTTTAGGCAGGAATAAGCTCCCAATACTGATGCGTATAAAATATACAAACAACTGACATTTCTAATTTATTTGAATTAAAAAAACAAAAATACATGAGATTTTACATCAGACTTACTATTAAACTGAATCCCATGAAACATTAATGAGAAAAATTAAATTTTACTGTACAGGTCACGGCATTTACTCAAACACCCTGGGATACCTGGGTGGTGTATCCTGGGCCATGCTAGTTGCCCGAACCTGTCAATTGTATCCAAACGCATTGCCTGCCACTCTAGTCCACAAGTTCTTCTTGGTGTTCAGCCAGTGGAAGTGGCCCCAACCGGTCTTGCTAAAACAGCCCGATCATGTCAATCTAGGTTTTCCTGTTTGGGATCCAAGGGTAAGTTGTTTATTCAAGCAATTTATTATTCACCAGTGCCAAATTTTCTGTGACAATGACGAAAATGTCTTCTAGAACTACTCTATCATAGAAGGAGTACTAGAGTAAATAGATAATAGTAATCTAGTAAAAAATTAAATCAATTTGAAATTCATTATCCATTTTGCTATGCTGTTAGCCATTTGTTCACTGGCTTACCTGGTAGTTACCAGACTTGAGTACCGCCGTAATGTGGAAGGTGGAGGATACCTTGATAAGAGCTAAAATCCCAATTATACTGATGTAAATTGCAATTCTGGAATGTTTTCCCATAAATTTAAACTATTTTCAAACAATATTCAACTTTGTACAGGTGAACGTAGCCGACAGATACCACCTAATGCCCATCATCACGCCCGCATACCCTCAGCAGAACTCCACATTTAACGTTTCAGCTTCAACTAGAACAATCATCATGGAAGAGTTTAGACTTGGTGAGTTATATTTTTACTTTTTTTTTGTCTTCCTTATTTCATCATCATCAACGAAAAGCTTGGCTGAAATCAAAAGTATTTTTTATTAAAGTAAGCCTGACATAGACTTCAACACTGATTAAAACCTATTTGGTTTTTTTTTTGTTTTTCCTACCTAAGCTGATCGCCTTGAGAACTATTTCAGCTTCTCCTTGACGTGTAGGTGAGCTCACGGGGCTCAAACCGGAGTGTTGCTAACACTGGCCCTAGCAAGAGCAGTGCTTCTTAGAATCTACCACCGGATTGGAAACGCGACCCACTGAGAAGATCCGGCGAGAAACTCGGTGGGCTGTGTCTGTGGGTGTGGGGCTCGACGAGTAAATTAACTCGTCGAGCCCTTCGTCGGTACCCGGGTCAACCCTAAACTCAGCACTAGCTGTTTTCCATATTAACATTATACTAGAGCTATGATTTCAATAGCAGTGTCTCTGTGCATTACCAGGGCTTGCAGTGACCGACGAGATAATGCTCGGCAAATGCGGCTGGGAGCGTCTATTCGAGGCGCCGAATTTCTTTTCCCGCTACAAACACTTCATAGTGCTGTTGGCTTCCTCCGCTAGCGCCGACGATCAGCTGCAGTGGTGCGGACTCATTGAAAGCAAGATACGTCATCTTATCGGTGAGTAGTTTTTATAATTCCGACTTTAGAGTAAGCGGTGTTTCCCGAGCGCTATGACATGTCTTTCTTAGAGAGTACTTAACGGTAGGCAGCGGCTTCGCTCTGCCCCTGGCATTGCTGAAGTCCATGGGCGACGGTAACCACTCACCATCAGGTGGGCTGTACGCTCGTCTGCCTACAAGGGCAATTAAAAAAAATATATAGAGAACCTAACTGATCAGACTGAGTGCCCGTGACGCGTGATCTATTTTTACTATGCAATAAATGAGACTTCAAAGAGGAAGACACCTTCCACTGATAGCACTTGGGTGGAAGCGAAAAGTAAATTGAATTTTGAATAGAAAATTGAGTTTAAAAATCCTGATCATAAAATGTGATTATTCCATATAAATTAAATATACTCAATTTTAATTTGTATTAATTCTATCTTAAACTTTTCAGCTACACTGGAACGCAATCAACATATAACGATAGCTCACGTTAACCCGGAGTGCTATAACTCAGTGCCGCTGAACACCAATAATGGGCAACCGTTAGCCTTACCACCCGGTAAATATAAATAATAAATAAATATTTACTAACAATCACGCCACGTTAACTGGTCCCGTGATAAGTTCGTAAAGAACTTGTGTTACAGGTACCAGATAACGGATATAAATGTAAGATTTTTATTATACACATACATATATTTAATATACATCCATAACCCTGGAAAAGACATTTATATTTATCATACAAATATCTTCCCTTGGCGGGATTCGAANTTACTAACAATCACGCCACGTTAACTGGTCCCGTGATAAGTTCGTAAAGAACTTGTGTTACAGGTACCAGATAACGGATATAAATGTAAGATTTTTATTATACACATACATATATTTAATATACATCCATAACCCTGGAAAAGACATTTATATTTATCATACAAATATCTTCCCTTGGCGGGATTCGAACCCGCGACCCTCTTGTGTAGTGACCATGTCACTTACCACTACACCAGACGGCCGTGTTTTTCTATTCAAGTTTCATCTTAAAAATATTTACTTATTGCTGTTGTAGACTCATTAACCATAGAGTCTGATGGTACGTAGTCACCAAATGATTAAAAGTATTTTGAAAAATTGTTCACAAATGAACGAAGTGAATGATCATCCATCCAAGTCTCCAGTCTTATGCCGAAATCAGACAAACACAGAGTCGACTTGTCTTCTATGGAGATTTCCAAATGTGAAAACCTTATTGGCATAAATTAGGCCATGGACATTTTTTTTTTATTGCGTAGATTAGTGGACGACCTCACAGCTCACCTTCAGTTAAGTGGTTACCGGAGCCCTAAGACTACAACTACGTAAATGCCGCCACCCATTTTGGGACATGAGTTCTAAGTCTGTTCAATAGTACAACAGTTACCCCACCGTTCAAACTGGAACATATTGCTGCTTCACGTCAAGAATAAGTAGGGTGGTGAGGTACCACTGGTAGGTGGTACCTGGGTCCTGTGAGCATACACACCGGCGTATGATGAAGTACCACCATTTAAAAAAAATAGCTTATTATAAACCATTTGAGACCAATTTTTATTATCTTAAACAGGGTCAACCATACCCCGCGAGACATCGCCAGAGTTGAACAAAAATGACAAAGTAAGTATCCTTATGTAATATTTTTCAACTGTATTAGTGTTACTTTCAACACATAAATTATAAATCACTTAACAAAAGCATACTATTGTAAATGTTTCTTAATGGGTTCAATTTTATCTTTACACACATATATAAGTTCTAAGGTCTCAAGTATAGTTATAACGGCTGCCCCACCCTTCAAACCGAAACGCATTACTGCTTCACGGCAGAAATAGGCAGGGCGGTGGTACCTACCCGCGCGGACTCACAAGAGGTCCTACCACCAGTAATTACGCAAATTATAATTTTGCGGGTTTGATTTTTATTACACGATGTTATTCCTTCACCGTGGAAGTCAATCGTAAACATTTGTGAAGTACGTATTTCATTAGAAAAATTGGTACCCGCCTGCGGGATTCGAACACCGGTGCATCGCTTCGACACGAATGCACCAGACGTCTTATCCTTTAGGCCACGACGACGACGACGAAAATCACAAATGAGTTTTTATATCTTGACAATAATAATACAGGAATATGTTTATTTTCTCAGGGCGAAGTGGTGGTGAATCATTGTTCGATGTGGTTCATTGGATTGGTATTCGAGAAGACAAATGTAAACGTCGATCTGACTTACGATATCTCTTCGTTCACCAAGGCTGTGCTATACCAGGCTGAAAATACGAATATGCTGCGAGAGGGACTCACTATTGAGGTAAGACACGGACATAATATCCTGTGAAAGTTTGGCTATATTAGTGCTTTTACAAACTGTACACTTACAAAGGTATTATAATGACTCAGTGTTTAGCAAACACGTGATGAACAAAATATTAGAGAGATTATCATCGAACCCAAGGTTTTCAGTTGATATCTAATTACCAGTGGTCGGAGTACGGAGAGATTTTATAAACTTGCGTCAAGATATTATAATATAGACATACATTTTATCCATAATTATTATTTTTTTAAATTGAAAAAGAATATTTTTAATCCTCATCATCCTCAATATTATTAATACGTTTTTCACCTTAAACACAGATTCATGCTAAATTCAAAATTCCGGAACATATATCACAATAAATATGAAGTTCCGGTATTTTGGAGGCATATCCATATTATCCTCTACGTTTGAAGTCAACGACCTTAAATCAATCTACCTACTCCGACCTCTACTAATTACAAATTTGATGAAAAAAAATTCTTTGAACAAAATAAACACATCTTTTTGTATAAACTTTACAACCCACCACATATTGCACAGAGCTCTAAATACGTCATTAAGAATCCTCCCAATCCATTAACGGTGCGCTTAGGTACCTCAAGCACCGGTCACCGTCCTAAATTAACCCATAGTCACAGCCCACTGAGTTTCTCGTGAGCTCACGGGGCTCAAACCTGATGACGTTGCTAACATGAACCCTAGCAAGAGCCGTGCTTCGCAGAATCTACCGCCGGATCGGAAACGCGACCCACTGAGAAGATCCGGCGAGAAACTCTGTGGGCTGTGTCTGTGGGTTGATTCACTCGTCGAGGCCTTGGTCGCAAGCGACGGGTTCGACGAGAACGATGACCGGCAAATGTAATAAAATGTACTTGTTTCCCCACAGGCTCGTCACGTCCGTCGCAAGCAGCTGCACCAGTATCTGTCGGCCTCGCTGCTGTGCCGCCGCGAGCGCACCGCCTCCGGGAACAAAAGGAAACCCGACGGTGCTCTCACACACCCGCCCAAGAAGAGTAAACGACTGTCCGAAAGTAGCGTGAGTACAAAATAAATTCTACTCGACGACACCTTACTAATAAGTTACCTCAAATGTTTTCGACCTCAATTCAATCGATGATACGTTAATGACAACCTCAAGTCTTGAAAATCGATTTTCTAAATTACTCAGTTAGTTGTGTGTATTATAAGTTATAATTATTGAGATTAAAAATCTTTGATCGCATTCATATTTTGATGTGGTATGCTCCGGTGACTGCTTCCCAGCGTAATGGACTGTGAATGTTCATCAAAGATAAAACCACCTTTTTTTATTTTCGACCTATAGACCAAAATTTGAGATCTTTAAAATTGACCGAAGTTAGAGTAAAAAGAGAAATTTTGTTTCCCATAATGATTTATATATAACACAAATGTATGAGGAACTTATGTAATGTATATTTCACCTTTTAATGAACAAAAAAGTAATTTACAAAACCTACCATTCTCTGTGAAGATAATCGAATGACACGACATACTGTAAACTTTGGGCGAAAATTTAAAATAAATAAATACATGTGTGCAATTCACAAGTGTTAGAAGTGAAACCTTCAATAATTAAAATACAATTAACCTAAATGTCTAAGTATATGTAAAATTTTGACATCAGTAAATAATTGTAAATCATCTTTTATAGTATGAGGTAGCGCCCTCTGTGAATTGATATTTTAACTTCACGTATAATCCTAAATTAAAATTCACTACAAGAGGTTTCATACACACGTTAGTGTTAAAAAATCTCATATTAAAAAAATACTAAACTCAGAACGTTTAATGTGATCTATCTCATTCTCTCTCCAGCTGAATCCTATACATTTATGTGTTTGTGTCTCTATGGACTTATTTTTTCGTTTCATCGAGTTTGAAATCACAACGATTCTAAAGAAGTTTCACTTCAATAATTATTTCAGACGGACGAAGTCAGCATCTTATCATACAATGACGACTCGAACTCTTCAAACCTCTGCGAAGTAAACATCCAGAACGGTTCTGCTAATGGGACGGCGGAGACTCCGAAGGCCGACGCCTCTACATCTAGTACTATAGCGTGCACATAGCATTACGAAGCCTGGCGCCAGCGGTTCATTTACGGCACCGATACCGTCAAGACGAACAAACTGAGGCGCTTCTAATTGATAAAGGACATTACAAACATGAGTGGTACAGTGATATTAAAACTAATAAGTGATGTGATCGTGGTCTTAGGTAACGAAGCAATAATGTGTTTTGTGATTATCGGAATGGAATCTTTGGTGATTCTCAGGTGAGTCTTGTTGCTATATCGGGCTCTTCAAAGCTTTGTGTGACTTATCTTTTTTGAGCCAACAGTATCTTAAAACACATGAAAAGTTTATCGGATCAGACACAATATGAAGACGAATAGGCACTGTGGACACGTGAGTTAACTGTATGATTAGCGAATTTATGTGTTAGAAATAAATAATTTGTATGTAGTTAAGATGGTATTTTAGATCAAATTTGTCAGTCTTAAGTAGAACAAAGGAGACTGAAACGATTACATACATTTTTGGGCCCGAATGTAACGTGATGAAACTAATATGAATTAATAGATTCAGATTTATAAGTACCTTGCTGAAAATTATAAAAGTTTTCTCAATCTGAGAGCCGAGTTAATAAAGATTTAGTAAAAGTTAGGTTATGTTACAATCTCTTTAAAAGAGCTGAATAATAACTTATTTAAGCATAAGTAAATGTTTATTATATCCATTGGATAATCTTTTAAATGTCATATTATGAATGAATATAAATGATATATATCAGGTATGGAATATGGAATTGCTATCCCACAATTCACACAGCGATCCATAATTTCAACAGTATCCAATGCAACAATTTCAAGTCAAACGTGTGAGCGATCTTCGGTGTCCAGTGTAGAAGCAATTGTCGTACAAGGCTGGCAGAGTTGGAATCCGTAATAATAAAGCAGTGATCGTTGAAATTATAAAAACAGCCCGATAGATACACACTCAAAATGCGTCGAAGATACAAAACGAGTAGAGCAGAAAAAAACCAACAAGCGCCAAAAAATAATTGTATAATCTATGAACAAACGTCATGTCAGCTTACTGTCAAAGCTGTCATCAAAAATACAATCGATTTTAATCGATTTGAAATCGATAATCATATTACTTTGTTAAGTAATAATAGACTTTTTCTTCATTTATGTATATAATCGCAATTAAATCCGGCGTATACCGCACTTGTNCAAGCGCCAAAAAATAATTGTATAATCTATGAACAAACGTCATGTCAGCTTACTGTCAAAGCTGTCATCAAAAATACAATCGATTTTAATCGATTTGAAATCGATAATCATATTACTTTGTTAAGTAATAATAGACTTTTTCTTCATTTATGTATATAATCGCAATTAAATCCGGCGTATACCGCACTTGTATACAACAAGTATATATTGCTCATTTAATTACTTTGCATTAATTATCTAGTGCAATGTTTTTCTTTTTATAATCCTGTAATCGATTAATTAAATCGATCACACCGTTATACCGACAAAAACTAACTTTCTCATTTTTCTCCGGTCCCAGAAAGAGGATTGAGGTGATTTTTTATATTCTTATATAAAAAAATATGACAAATTTTTTAGACTATATTCCAAGTTATTACATTTTTGGCCCACGATTTTCCGTCTCCTTTGTACTAAAATGTAACGATTGCCTAAATTCAAGGGCTTAGATTGGATGAATTTGTTAAATACTGTCTGCCAAATTTGTGGATTTTGTTGTTTTGATTTTGTAATGTTGCATGTCACTCACAGTTGACCACCTCTCATAATTCAGGATTAACGCTCCCGGTTTGTGAGTCCAGGTTGATAGATATTCATATAAAATAAATAATAACGGTATGACCCAGACTGACAATAAAGGTTATAAGTTCACAATTGGACATATAACCGATATTTTTGGAAAGTCATGTGTATGTAACATGAATTCTCTATTATGTCTCACTAGTAGGTAAGTGTTAAACTTGACTATCAGGTAAGCTGATTGGATTGTGTTGTAACTCTGAGTGACTTTTCTATGTAGAAGTTTGCAACTTAATAGGAACATATTGGTATCTTAATATTGTGGGGACGAGGTCCATTATTGTATGATGGGTCTTGTGTTTCAGGTATCCGGTGGGACGGATTCCGGCGCCAAGTAAGTTTGGTTCCTTCAATTTTATAGAATAGTGTCTTTTGCAAGAGTAATATTATTTAGTGCTTTGTTGTGTTTAGTCCAAATGGTACTTAACCATTATCAAATTTACTATTTTTATTGACTACTTTGTGTGAAATGTGTCTGGATTATGTCGAGTTTCAGGCAGTGCTAGTGAAGGCTATGATAAAAAACAAACGCTATTTACATTTTTGTGTCTCTTTGACACGGCTCCTTACTCAACACAAGACACAATAAAACAATTTTGTTTTGTTACACAAATTGGGAATGTGATTAGATTAATTTTTTTCCTGAATTTGATGGAATTCAACACCATTATCACACATAAGTCAGTCTATAAATTCAATGAAGGATTTATACACGAGTATACTCTTGCGAAAGACAGTAAAGTACAAAGTGGAAGAAATAATCTATTTTTGTTTTCTATTTTACGATATTCCATCGAATAGCGTTTGCTCGACAACTCAATTTGAAAAGATGTAAATATATTATGTAGAAATGTTTTTTGAAAAATTCATGTAGGTGTTTGATCATTGAGAATTTGCAAATTTTACTTGTCGGACCACGTAATTTTTATGATGAATGTTGATACAGACGAGAAATACTTTGACAGAAATAACTAGGCAGTCTTTGTTCCAAAAAGATTTTCAACTAAAACATATAATTAAAACCGTTGAAACATTGTACTGTGGAGGTCATTGTGAAATTTGATAACATTTATAGGACGCACATCATTTTTAAAACATATTGCTTATACATTTTGGTTGTACTACAATCTGTTGCACTTGATGCTGAGGACGTTGTAGTCTCCTTGCTCTTACTTTCAGCAGTTGCCAGCTTTTAGTTGGTGGATTTCCCTTCTAACATTGTTTCTTTGTCCTATGTTTGTCGATGGGGTGATTCAATCTAGTAAGCTTTGTAGTTCATTTGCACAGGCAGTGCAGATGTAGATGAACACTGAGTCATGATAACAAAATGTTTATTACATATAAATAATAAGTATATTCTACAACATGTTAATTTATATGAATAACATGTGTGTAATAAACATATTATTTTCATCAGTTCACCGAATTATGCTTCTTAATTTTTTCCTTAGTTTCTCATACTAAATGAATATAGAAATAGCTTTGTTCTTTAAAAAAACTCAAATTCTAGCGTCCTCGTATAGGTTGTTTTAGTTTTGTATACTAGCAAGCCAGAATATGGTTGCCAGGACTCATAGTTTCTTGATATACGTTGGGAGTCTTTCATTTCAATGAGCAATTCATATTATTTTAATAGTTTACGAGCGATACAATAAATATGCAAAAATACTTAAGGTACATGGCATTTTTTTGTCAGTCCATTCTTGTTGAATTAATGAGTGATGAGATGAGATTGTTTTTTTTTTTTTGTTAATTTTGTATTAACTTTTTTGAGTGGTCGAGTAACAAATCAGTGTTCAAAACGGTATACACATAAATCTGTTTGTAGTTTCTTCTACTTTTCAAGATGTCAGGGTAATAATTTTTTTTTATAGTCTTTTTATGTTGCCGTTTCATTTTGTTTAATAATTTTTTCGGCTGCATTTCTTTTGTTCACTGAAATTAGAACGTGACAATGCTGCTGTAAGGTTTATTTTTGTGTAACACGTGTCTTCATCTCGGAAGCGTTTAGCGTACAAGTTGCCATGTCAATAAATGATTTTGTTTTTCGGTACTGGCAACATTTAAAATTTATGAAATTTCCATTGACGCTTTGTAATTTGAAATCGCAATTTTGAATGTTTTCTCTCATCAATTTATTGAGTCACATAATTTCTATTGTAAATATTTTTAAATCAAAATAAGTCTTACACCAGTACTCGTTAGATGTCAACGTTCTTTGGACTAGTTTTTAAAATGAAATGATTCCACCTAGTTGATAAGACTCAAAATGTAGTTGTCGTTAAATATGTTTCTCTAGTTTAAGTTGTAAATAAGTAGTGAATTGATTATTATATATGAAAATATATATCTGGACAAAAACGATATAAAATTGAAAAAAAAAAGAATAAATGTACATATAAAAAGGATTTGGTTGTTTTTATTTATATATTCACCTGCTGCATATTCCACTAAGTATTTAGTATTTACTGTACGCCAAAACTACGAAACACACTTGTAAAGTGTCTGAGACCATACGAAAGAGAACACACACATACACAATTACTTATACATATACTAATATATAGGGGCCATATAAAACTGACTTTGATCTCGATGTTTGTTTGCGAATACAAAACATGCTCTTTAAAAAAAATCTAACCGTAGCAAGAACGTCTTGTGACCTAGGGTCTGCATGGGTCGATGATACCTGTAAATTGTTCCAGTCTGAATGATTGACTCCGGTAATCACTTACAGTCGGGTTGGCTGTCGACTCGTTTACACACTTAATCAAAGGACGACGATATACGACTCAGTATAAAAAACGAATTTTATCAAATAAAACTTCCTCTGATAACGAAATATAATAATTTTATTGTATAAAATCTAATAATTTCATTTAATTTTCAACATAAGCCACGATGTAGGATAGAATTTATTGGTCACGATTTATAGTATTTCGAGCTCCTTACTAGAAGTAGAGATATTCTTTTGTGAATATTGTTTATCTTCAATTTATTTCTTTCCAAAATTCAAGGGCAACCCTGAAAACAAACAAGAATATTGATAATTTACTATCCATACTAATATAAGAAAGGTCAAAGTTAGTTTGGTAGACATGAGTCTATAGATACCAACGGGTCTACAAATTGACTGGTAATTTACTGTGTCAGGCAACCTTAGCCCTAATAATTTGGAGTCATCATGGCCTAATGGATTAGATGTTCGGTGCTTGCGTATCGTGCGATGCGACTGTGTCAGTGTTCAAATCTCACAGGCAGGCACCAATCGTTCTCATGAAATACATACTGTACACGAAAAACTAAGGTATATTTCGGCAGTAACGTTTTTGATGTCTATTGGCTCCGGTAATCATTTACCATTAAGTGGGACGTCAACTCCTTCATGTGCTCAACAGTCATGTATTAAGTCTTATAAACCATATAACGATCCAAAAACTATCAATTTTCCCACGTAGCAATCCCCTATTCCGGCTTCTGCGACTCCCAGCTACACCGCCCTACGAGCACCGGCATCTACGTCACAACAAACCAGGAATATCACACCTCCCGCCATCGGAGCAGAGTTCATCCATATTATCTAGAACCGCTGCGTTCACCCACAGTGCGCTTCCAGAGGTCTTTTTTGCCACGTACCATCCGGCTATGGAATGAGCTCCCTCCACGGTGTTTCCCGAGCGCTATGATATGTCCTTCTTCAAACGAGGCTTGTGGAGAGTATTAAGCGGTAGGCAGCGGCTTAGCTCTGCTCCTGGCATTGCTGAAGTCCATGGGCGACGGCAACCACTCACTATCAGGTAGGCCGTATGCTCGTCTGCCTACAGGGGCAATAAAATATATATACAGTCAAAATCTGTTATAACGACATCGAAGGGACTGCTCATATTCAGTCGTAAAAACCGATAGTCGTAACAACCGGTGATGCTTAATGTGTATCGTGCAAGTACAAACAAATCGATAGGGAATTATTGGAAAAATATATTTATTCAACTATATACATTTTGTTTATTAGACATAAGTAGAAGATTTTTTCTCGCTCTTTCCAAATGGTTGAAATTGTCGAGTGTGATACACCATATTTCTTTGCTAAGTCTTTGTTTGAAATTCCGCTCTCTAGCTTGGATATAATACGCGATTTTTCTTCAATATTAATTTGTTTTCTTTTTCTTTGCGACATTTTGAAAGTTTCACGAATAACTCCACAAAGTTTTGGTGCGTCTTGTGTATAGATAAGTACAAACTAACTGAAAAGATATGAAGAAGCGGGCTTTGACTCTACTGCATGCATGTGTTTTGTTTCTAAGAATTAGAAAAGACCCTACACTAAACTAAATCTTATTGTTTTCTTTCCTGATTTTAATAGCCATTGAAGACAAATGTGGATACCTATTCAAATTGTTTACAATACAGCTTAGCTGGTCGTTCTAACAGATGTAATTCTCCGAAATATTAGTTAAATGTGGTCGTTTTATGAGGTATGTCGTTATAAGCAATGTCGTATAAAGCAATGTTTTTAATAAGGCGGTCATATGGCATTCAGCCGGGACCTTTGTTCTTGGTTATTATAACCGGTATGTTGTTCTAAACGATGTCACAGTAAACGATTTTGACTGTATATCAAAAGGCCCGACTCACCCAATCGATGACGTCATTCTTGGTGCGTTTTGCATTCTGCAACTCCAATATTTCGTCCTGTATCGATACGCTCAGCTCCTGTATGGGGACGGTCTCCGTGCGCCAGGGAACGTCTTGGTACTTGCTCGTTCGATTGCGGCGTTTCTTGTGAGCTTTCAAATGTACCTGAAGTTCGAGGACAGCGCCAAAGGGTCCGGTAAAGTTCGGGACTTATATAAATATTGTATGTCCATAATATCGGACCTAAAAGAGCAGACCAGCTTAAGGGACATTGGTGGTAGAACTTCTTGTGAGTCCGCATGGGTAGGTTCCACCACCCCGTCTATTTCTGCCGTGTAGCAGTAATGCGTTTCGGTTTGAAGGGTGGGGCAGCCGTTGTAAGTACTTGAGACTTTAGAACTTATATCTTTTTTTTTTTTTTTTTTTTTTTTATTGCTTTGATGTGTGGACGAGGTGGTATCTCAAGGTGGGTGGGTGGCGTATTTACGTTATAGATGTCTATGGGCTCCAGTAACCTCTTCACACCAGGTGGGCTGTGAGCTCGTCCACCCATCTAGGCAATAAAAAAATAAAAAATGTTCATGGGCTAATTTATGCCAATAAGGTTTTCACATTAGGAAATTCTCACAGCAGACAAGTTGACTCCGTGCTTGTCTGATTTCGGCATAAAACTGTGGAGACTTCAGCCCTTATTGGGAGAGGTTGGGATTGTTTCATATTAAGGGGTGGTTATTTATCACAATAAATTAGTTAGAGGAAGACTGACAGTGGCACCTATGACCGAGAAGTTGAGAAGTGCAAGTTTCGGATGGTATCTTATACCTTTAAACAAGCAATTCTTGTATATTATATAATATATATAATCTGAATCTCGGAAACGGCTCCAACGATTTTCATAAAATTTAGTATACAGGGGATTTCGGGGGCGATAAATCGATCTAGCTACGAGTTATTTTCAGAAAATGTTGCTTTATTCACGTTTTCAATAATCAACTCTTCCTGACATCTATTGGCGAATAATAATACTATTTTTCTTAATTGAGGGCAACTAACCGCTTTAAAGACACAACAAGATAGCGTTATCAAAAAAAAACCGAGTAAAGCTCGATCATCGTCTAGTGAACATGTAATGAGACAAAATAACAACGAGGTTGGTAAGAGAGTTTTAACTATGAGTGTGGAGGTAGACCTAAGAAGAAATGGATGGATTGGGTGAAAGATATGTGTAAGAGGGGAGTGAGCGGAGAAATGGTATATGATAGAGGAGTATCGAAGGAGAAAACATATTGCGCCGACTGTAACTAGGAGAAGCGCAGGAGAATGATGATGATGATTTATCACAATAAATTCTGCAAGTTCACGTTACTACACCTGTCTGCACGAACAGACTAATTGTAGTGGCTTACCTTTTTGAGATGCGTGTTGACCATGGACCGCAGATGGAACAGGGCGGGGCACAGCGGACAGCGGCGGCTGGGCGCGGAGTGCGCGCACACGCGGTGCTGGTTGCGGCGGTTCAGCGACACGAAGCCGCGCCCGCACACCTACCGGCCCCAACACTATACCCCATATACAGGTAATAGGGCGGTATCTACCTTTCTTTCTAAGCTGAGAGCCTTGAGAGGCTATTTCAGCGTAACTTTAACTAGTGGGTGAGCTCACGGGGCTCAAACCTGACGACGTTGCTAACACGAACCCTAGCGAGAGCCGTGCTTCGCAGAATTTACCACCTGATCGGAAACGCGACCCAATGAGAAGAATCGGCGAGAAACTCAGTGGGCTGTGTCTGTGGGGAGTGGGGATAGATTCGGAATATCGTAAGTTGGAAGAAGACAGAGAGGAGGGTTCTATTGGTTTCTAGATTCGGAATCTATTTTGTTGATTTAAAGGCCTAAATATTGGGCGATAACGCCCCCCTTGTGCGGCGCTGCAGGCCAAAAGGGGGGCGATAAGAGACCCAAAAATGGGGGGGCGTTGTGTAGAGGCTTGGGAGGCGATTTGTTATTTCATTGAGCTCTCGCTATAGTGGTCTATAAGTGAAAAAATGGAGACGCTATAAAATAATTTATTCTCAAAGTGGGCAGTAGACAAAATAAGTTTGGGAACTCATGGCCTAAATTTATTTCGCCTTACTTTAGTCTAAAGCGCAGTCAGTTTGCATTATGTACAGCCTTTATTTTTGTCTAAAACACTGTTAGTATTCTGTACAGAGGCAGACTACACGCGAAAGACAAAAGATTTTGAGAGAAAGGGGCACGTGCGATTTAAAAATCTCTTAAAATTTATATTCACTACTTTGGATTAAGGCTAGCATAGCCTGAGCTGGTGGACCATACTATGTATTGGAGATGGCTTCGCGGTAAAAGTAGAGTTAGCCATCACTAGAGGTTTTCTGTATCTTCTGTATAACCAAACATCGCCTTATGCCTATGCTCCGATCCTAAAACTCTCTTCAACAACAAATACCACATAACTCATCATCATCATCTCAGCATACAGCTGTCCACTGCTGAACATAAGCCTCTCCAACCGATCTCCAGTACGGCCGGTCCGTTGCTACCTGCAACCAACCCAGCCCAACCCAAATCCAGCTCTTGAAATCCTCGAAAAAGTCCACTGAAAAAATCACAGTAAATGACCACCATATTACTGAGATTATATTTCATCCCATATCATCTCATTTAATCATCATTTCACTTAATTTCATTACACTTCATATTATCATCATCGATATATATATAAAAATGAATTGCTGTTCGTTAGTCTCGCTAAAACTCGAGAATGGCTGAACCGATTTGACTAATCTTGGTCTTGAATGACTTGTGGAAGTCCAGAGAAGGTTTAAAAGGTAGATAAATATGAAAATTCTCGGAATTAAATAAAGTTTAGGTCTTTTATTTATCGGTTGAGGCACTACGAAGTCTGCCGGGTTAGCTAGTTTTTCATAAAAATAAGACTGAAGAAGAGAAAAATATGACTTAAAGGTCTTAGTTACCAGGTCATAAAATTTATTTAAATAAAAAAGTTCTCTCTCTCTCTCTCTGTGTGTAACTCACGTCGCACACGTAGGGCCGCTCGTTGCTGTGCAGTCGCTGGTGCCACATGAGGGTGCGCTGGTCCACGAAGCTGCGGCCGCACGTGTCGCAAGCGCAACGTGGCTTCGACGGATCCGCTTTAGACTTGTCTTTGGTAGTTGCTTGTTTTACGTTCCTTCTGAAATGGAATGTGTAGATTAATGACTTTATTAAAAGAATCTAGTTCCATTAATTCGGATACCGTTTTGCAGTATGGTATAGCTAAATGGTCATAAATGGCTTTGATTATATGAATATCAACTTAAGTAACGGTGCACAAGTCCTTTCAACGAATAAATGTTTTTACATAACCAAGGAAATGTCAGACGTAAGGAAATAATGAAGTAGACTGTTGGGAGAGGTATTTGTCTGTCTGGAATAGAGGAGGTCAACTCTTAATAACTAAAAAAATTGTCTCAGCTATAATCCGTTTTAGACTTGGCCATGTTTGCTCCCCTGTTTTTCTTGCCAAAATTAGAGTCCTTGACCATTCTCTTTGTGAGTGTGGATTAGATGAGGGTACCCTGGATCAGATTTTCTTCGACTGCCCCAATATCGTATCCCCTCTTTATGATATCCTTTCAAATGACATTCCCCGGCCTATTAATATTAATTGTTTATTAACTTTAGTCTATTCTAAACATGTAAATATTCTGTGTAAATTTTTATCTGCTAATAATATTTTTTGCTTGTGCTTCTCTTAAAACCACAGATTCGCGTATCGAAAAACCGACCAAATTTATTTGTACATGTATAGATTTAGTAATTTTTTTCTTCTCTAAGCACTTGTCATTTTTGTAAATACTTTGACATTGGCAAAATCAATGCTAAAGGCATTGGAGCCAAATTCTTTATAAATATATTACGTATTAGGTCAGGAGTGAAATCGACCTCATTTTATCCCCAAAGAACATCTCATCCACATGGGAAGCTACATTTCTCAAATTTCCGCGACTGTGAGACCGCGGGCCCAAGGATGTTTTCAAGGCTCTACTCATTAAACGACTCCCCTGCACTCTCCGCCCAAGCGTCCGCTCCCCTCCGAGGTCAGAGCCCGGATGAGGTAAGTGGGTTACCGCGATCAACACTACAAGACGGCGCAGCTCACCCCAAGGACGCCCGGCCCACGGAGCCTTCGAGGTGAATCGGAGGCTCTGAAACATCGGCCGTCTCGGTACGGCAGCACGTCAGGCGGTGCCGCTGGTGTCCCGGAATACCCCGCTGGACCAGAACCAGCCTGCCGGGTCGGGACGCGGTACACCGCCAACCAGTTACTCTTTTTATCGTGAAGATATTTCTCCTCGGCAGTGCGCTAGAGTGCTGGTAGCGCGCTGCCCGACCTCTACACCTCAAGTCGCCCCGTGACCTTCACCGGGGGGTTGGGGGGAACCAAAGAACGATTATGGCCATGTACCTTATTTAAAATGAAATGAAATACATTCTAACACCGGTCAATCACAATTAATACTCACGGTTCTTTATTTACTATCTTTTCTTCATGTTTATTAATGTGTATTTCGAAGCTAGATTCGCTTTTATACATTTTGCCGCAGTAGTAACAAGTGAATTTCTTTGTATGTTTCTTGTCGCAATGCTCCGATAGTTCATCTTCGCTTTGAAATATCATTCCGCATATTTCACAAATGTGAACAGCGTCCGCCTACAAGAAAATGAATGAGTATTGGAGCTATCCAACTTGGAGCAAATTAAAATGTGTGACTATTTTACTCTAGAAATAAGCAGGATAATAATCGTTTGATGGTCCAAAGAACATGCCGTCGTGGCCTAAAGGATAAGACGTCCAGTGCATTCGTATTTAGCGATTTTTTTATTTTTTTTTTATTGCTTAGTTGGGTGGACGAGCTCACAGCCCACCTGGTGTTAAGTGGTTACTGGAGCCCATACACATCTATGACGTAAATACGCCACCCACCTACCACGTAAATGCGCAGCCCACCTTGAGATATAAGTTCTAAGGTCTCAGTATAGTTACAACGGCTACCTCACCCTTCGAACCGAAACGCATTACTGCTTCACGGCGGAAATAGGTGGGGTGGTGGTACCCACCCGTGCGGACTCCCAAGAGGTCCTACCACCAGTGATTACGCAAATTATAATTTTGCGGGTTTCATTTTTATTACACGATGTTATTCCTTCACCGTGGAAGTCAATCGAATGCACCGGACGTCTTATCCTTTAGGCCACGACGACTTCAACCGGTGCACCGGTGTTCGAATCCCACAGGCGGGTACCAATTTTTCTAATGAAATACGTACTTAATAAGTGTTCACGATTGACTTCCACAGTGAACGAATAACGTCGTGTAATAAAAATCAAACCCGCAAAATTATAATTTGCGTAATTACTTACTGGTGGTAGAACCACTTGTGAGTCCGCACGGATAGGTACCACCGCCCTGCCTAATTCTGCAGTAATCCGATTCGGTTTGAAGGGTGGTGTAGCCATTGAAACTATACTGAAACCTTAGGACTTATATCTCAAGGTGGGTGGCGCGTTTACATTGTAGATGTCTATGGGCTCCACTAACTACTTAACACCAGGTGGGTTGTGAACTGGTTCAACCATCTAAACAATAAAAATAAAAAAAATGCATTCCAGCATGAAGTACATTAGTCTCTTCAACACTCTGTCTTAGACCGGGTGGTTGCTTTCTCCTTGTAAACATTACCACAGGCCTTCAGCTCGTTCAATCCTATATGTAAGAAAATAAATCACTAGCATCTTCTTATCTAAGTGATACACGAAATAATTACTCACTTGGACGGAACACCTCATGGCATCGTGCCATTTCAAATGGGATATTATGGTATCACGCTTTTTAAAGACCATACCACAAAGAGCACATTCATGCACATTTGTATGAGTGTTTATATGATTTTGGTGTTCAATTTGATCTTCCGTCATTGCCTTGCAAATCTGTAATTAAATGTTCTTTTTAATTTATACAAAAACAATTCAGGCTTTATTCTATCAATCGATATAGGATAAATGAAAGCATATGAAAAACTGGGAGACATCATGATATTGTACAAAGAAATGTTTTATTAATTTATTGATAACTCGTGGACATCAGTAATAATATTGACAGATTTATGGAATTTGTTTGTGTATAGGCTCCAGTGTCCACTTAAGATCAGGTTGACCGTGAACTGGTCCACCCATCATGGTATAATAGTCGGTATCATTCATTAAAAAGAAGTATAATAGTCTCCCTCTACCATAACTTAATGCCTAATTCCTTTTAAATATTTTCAGACAGTATTTAGTGAACATACCTTACATACGTACAAAACAATGTTATGATCCAATTTCATATGTTGTTGTAGTTTCGAAGTGAACCGATATTTAACTGGACACATTCTACAACTTTTATAAGTCATCGGACCTCTTTTTCTTTTTGGTTTTCCCTTTAGATTTGTCAATGGTGCTTCCATTTTTAAATAATCACCAGAAATTGTTTTTTTATTATGTGATAAGGCCGTTTCACTGTTTTTAATGAATTTGTAATATTGTTGTTCACCTTCATTTTTGATTAAAATTACATTATTGTCATTATTATGCAGTTCTTGTATACTTTTAGGATTTATGTCTTTGTAATCTAAGCATCGTAAATCAAAGTTATAGGTCGGTGTTTCTGGTTTGTAAACAGGTAAAGGGATACAAAGTGCAGAGAAATCAGTATGGTGGTCGTTAGTATAATTTTCAACTGCCCTTAATATTTCATCCGTGTAAAATTTTAGTATTTCTTGACTTTGTTTAGTCTGCAAATAGAATTTATAGGCTACTGACGCGACCACAAAACAACTGTGGCATACATTATAATTATCGGCATCTGAAAACTAAGATACAAATACTTTTTTAATGCTCTTTGAAATGTTTGTGTACATAATTAAATTATTTTTTGATTAGCTAACCTCAATTTGACAAACGGTTCTTAATATATCAACCAAACTAAATTCGTTCTCTTCTTTACAGATTTTAGTATGAACATTTTCATATGATATACCCAAAGGCGCCAAGCAGATTAAACACAAGTTTTCTTCTAAATTGCCATTGGAAAGATATCGGACGACTAGTTTTAAATCCATAGTAATCGACGTGGTCAAAATAAACCGAATCTGAGAAAAAAAATCCTTGTAAATACATATTTCTTAATTTTATCTCGATAGCACAGACGGATTTAATTTGAAAATAAACAAGTCTTTTGAAAGTACCTATGGATGCGTTCGCATTTTGGAACTCAAAAGGCTCGTTCAAAAAAGTTTGCATTCACAGAACTACAGTCTCAAATATTAAGTGTATAATCTATGGCTACAGTACTGATATTTTGAGCTGTACCTAATTCACAGACAAAATCTCAGATTATTTGGTTTTGTAAATTAAAGGTATCAGGTAATAGAGAACTCTGATCCAATGTTGATTGAGCTACGTTAAATTAGGATTTGATGATATCTTTTAAAGCAATTTCTCAGAAAACTCGCTAGAAAAAGATTGACTTTGTAAGCAAACGATCTGCAGAATCAAACAATAAATGATTTCAGGATATTTGAACAATTCGTAAGGGCTTCTACTGCATGCAGTTACAGGTATGTTGTTTAACTACTTGTTTGAGTTTTGTTAGAGTTTTAACTTTAACTGAGTATACTGATTTGTGAAACCCCATTCCAAAGATCAAAATCAGTTGTTGCCAAAAAAACCTTATAATAGATATTATTAAAACTACTTTTACGGCTTAATCTCACGATATACTACATAATTTCGACATTTCGGATACTTTTCAGTTAGTACGAGGTAGGATTCGTCCTCTTGTAAATTTTGTGCTGACAAAAAGCAGTGCATTTTTAATGCCACACCTAGCAAAATATTTTGATGGCCATTAATTTCTAATGTTTTGCAATTCTGTATTGAGACCTTAGAACTCATATCTCAAGGTGGGTGGCGGCATTTACGTTGTAGATGTCTATGGGCTCCAGTAACCAGTTAAAAAGGGAGAGCTGTAAGCTCGTCAAACCATCTAAGCAATAAAAAACAATCATAGGATCTTTCATTTCAGACATTTTTTGCCGTCGATCTACCGAGTAAAATCGGTGAAGACCTTTTTCTTTGTGGCTTCTATTCCGAAAATTAAAAAAATTCTCAATATTTACATCTGCGACACGGAAGATTTGACATTTTTTTTCAATAAAATCAATGATTGATTCCTTGGTTTCAGTGGTTTATATAAATTCCATATTAATATATTTATCATTCCATTTTTTCTCCATGCTTTTCTTGTCTTTCTTCAATTTTTATTTTCTTTGTGCAAAGATTATAACTCTTAAGCAACAGTATCTAAAGGCTGGTATAGGTAGCAATTTTTCTCGCAGTACCAATCTTTTACTCAATCCTAGTTGAAATCTAGAGAATCGATTCAGAATAAAATCGTTTTCCAAACTCGCCGGGTCTTCTCAACGGGCTACATTTCCGATCCGATAATTGTGGATGCATCCGAAGAAGAACTGCGCTGCAACCCTCAGGTCTTCGCAGGTACTCTGTCAGCTGTAACTCACTACACATGAGTTAGAAGTTAACTTCTGTGTGTCTTGATTAACTTTGATCGAGAAGCAAATTATATTAACTTAACCTAACCATGCATCAGCTCGCTGAGTTTCTCGCCGGATCTTCTCAGCTGGTCGCGATTCCGATCTGGTAGTAGATTCATTCGCGAAGCAACTGCTCTTGAGTTGTTAGGTCCCCTTCGGAGGCGCTCGGACAGCCGTTATCAAACCCACCCCTCCTGGCTGAGCCTTTGCTCGCCCACCTGTACTGGTGAAACTGGAAAGGCCTCAGGGCCACTAATAATCCTTCAATCATAAAAAAAAACATTATCTAACTTAACATCAACCAAAAAACATTTAAAAAAAAAAAATATTATTTTGTTTCGTTGGCATAAGATGAAAGGAAGTTAAGTCCTGTAATGTAATTTCTTGAAAAACGAAATTTGCTAACATGGATTCGGTTGCGTATATTTTATTACAGACCATTTGTTTTAAGCTCGCGACTATACCAAAATCAATAAACTGTTAGATCAATTTTGAAGTTATACTTCTTTAGACACGTTATGAAAAATTGATTAGAGTGAAATTTTACGATGCGCGCGCACCGTGACACAAAATTAACAGAATGAAGTTGCCTACTAAATCGCTCATTACAGTACGACCGACGTAACTTGGCAAGTCTGAATATAGCCGCAGGTGAACTTTCCGAATCGTACCTACCGAGAATTACCGAATTTGTACGATGTCAAGAAAAGTGATGTCCAATATGCGTTTGAGGATGTTGTTTAAAATATTTTTTTTCAAATTGATTAATATTTAAAAAAAAAAATTAATAAAAACAAAGTATAACTTCTTACGCGCGTACATAAGTACACGCAACCTTCTTTTTTTTAAACGGAATTGTGGATACAGTATTCTTTTCGAAATAGCAAGATCGAATCTCAATTTTCAACTACTATCCGAAATCGAATCCATTGGATTTCCTTTTCTTTTAAAAAATCGATTCTTCAATTACTCGATTTCCGATTGCATCAGAATCATTACCTCTCAAATATTAAGTGTATTATCTATGTCAATGCCCAAAAGTCAAAGAAAGAATTGACATTTGAACGGTGGGGGTTTGTTTAGAAATTTTACTCTAAATTTACTGTTGAACAGTAAGTTTTAACAAAATGATTAAGAGACATTTATATCTAAGCATTCAAAGTCAACAACTTTAATTTTGATTCTTTAAACCAAGGAAATAAGGAAAACAATGAAAGGAATTTATTCGGAAAAAAATCATAATTAGCCATTCTTGAATATAATTATATAAAGTACCTAGTAAATTTATGATACTAAAATGTATTTAACACACAATATTAACTTGTCGTCGAACAATAAACAAGGATTTTAGAAAAACAATGCAGCACCGCGGAAAGTATATGTAAAAAATGTCAAAAATCGCGAGGTAAGCAATTTCAAACGACCTTCAATTTGCGTATTTAATTACAAATTGTTTAGTATGGCAATGTTAAAGTTCCAAATTCAATTTTAACTGCTATAGCAATCGATCATCTCTATTAATGAAATTAAACTGCTTTTTGCGCATTTAGTAGCATTTAAGATTGAAAGCGGCGTATGCCACCGATCACTGAAGTACCACTGATGTAATTAGGCGGCAATGATAATTATATTTATACATTTATTTATTTTACTGCATAGGCCTCCCCGGCCTAGTTGAGATACTACCAATCAACAGCCAAAAGCCAAGGTAGCCAACATCAGCAAGCTATAATTCAAACACCACAGCAAGCTTTAAAGCGTATAATACAAATTTATTGTTATTTTATGAATCATAAGTAAATTTCAACAAACATAAATATAAATTATAAATTAAATTATTAGAGCCCTGTGAAAAAAAATTTGAGTTAAAAACTAGTTAAAGGAAACTACTACTACTAACTTAAATGTTTGAGTTTTTGAGGTATTTTTATTTTTATATAGTTTTTAATTCAACACTATTATAATTTTATTGTAACATCTACATTTTCTCTTACAGATAAAAAAAAATCATCTGTTGTTTGATATAAAAATTAATAAAAATACTACAACATTTGTAAGTATTTTCCTTTTTCACTACTGAATTCACAAAAGCTAAGCAACAACACTATTACAAAACTAACTGAATGACACCAGAATTTGAATTTAGCGTTTGAAGTGAAACTTTTTTAGGGTTGTTGAGAGTATGGGATACTAGTTAGGAGGAGCGAGAGTGAGAAAATAGACAGCATATTGCGAACCATTCAACTGTGGAGAGAGGGAAGGAACAAAGTGAACTAAGTTCTTTCTCTTATACACAGCATTCCTTATTACAAGAGGAATTCATTTAAGGATGAAAAATGAAGAAACCCAAAATACTACACACCGCAAAAGAAGTTTCACTTCTTTCAAGTGCACCAAGTTGCATGCATGTATTTTTTTTTGTTGTGTTGACATAAAGATCATGAGTATCTCAGATTTCACTTTCATAAACCTCACTTTTTTATATGAAAATCCAAATTTTCCAGTTTTATTATTGCCCTTGTAAGCAGATGAGCATACGGCTCACCTAATAGTGAGCGGTTACCGTCGCCCATTGACGTCAGCAATGACAGGGGCAGAGTATGTAACGCAAATGCACCATTTTTGTATGAGAATGCCTGCTCAACCACACAAACGGCTTTTATTTGCTGAACTTTTATTTTCATCACATTCATAATATAAGAGATTAATTTACATTTATTGTACAATATTATTATACGTCATGAATATGAATACCAATAATATGAGTCACCTACATTAAATATATTTATTTGTACATATGTGCTCATAGTAAAAATATATTTTATTTTATTTTATTATTTTTAAAATGGCGTAATGCTGCACTTTATTCTCTTTTTACCTTTTGTACACAAGATACGGACAAGTGCGATGGTTTTTTTTTTTTTAAATAAAACTAAAATTAAAAAAAAAAGAACCACAAACATGAGTTTAAAGCACACCCCATTTTTAACATATGATTAACTTAAACTATGGCCAAGTTTAATTATGTTTCTTCTTCTTTTTGTCGAATACAATTAATTTTAATGATTATTTTTAGTGTCCATAGGTCATGATCCTATTGTTGTTAATTAATTAAACTGTGCCAAGGTGTCAGTGGAAATAATTTTTTTTTCATTTATAAATCATATACATTTTTACATTGTTTTGTTTTGTAGTGCGTAACCTCGTCAACAATTTTTAAACTGATCATAATTGCAAATGATTTTAAATTGTTCATGGAGTTTTAAATTATCGACTGCACGGTAGGCACTATAAAATTAATTCTATAGTATTTATGTACAAAAATAATAAATAAATTTTGTTGAATTTTAACTCTTATAAAACCTAAAGATTAATTTTACTTCGAATAAAATTTTTACTGTGGGGAGATCTCACAACTTTGCAAAATATGGTAATGTACTTAAAAATGTAATTAAAAATGAAATGAATGATATTTACCGATACATTTAGAAATAACGCAAGGCAATGCTTCCAAAACAATGGCAAGCAGATCAGACACAAAAAAGAAAGTTTTATTCAATTAATATTTTGAATTATGTTTCGTGCATTACAGTAGTTCTAGTTTTTTTACATGCCGATGGGTAATGCTAAAGTGACAACTCCAGAGTTAGTGTCCGTATGCTTAGAGTGGATCACTTAAATGCAAATGCTTTATCTTTGTGGCTGTAGCGAGTTGCCATCACAGAAAACAAGATATGTGACAGATGCCTGAATCTCGCTAACGAAATTTTCAATATAAGTTTGAATATGAATATGAAGTTTCGCACAACAATATTCGGACTGTCGGCTTACCAAGCAATATCACACACTCGGTGGAAGATCTTCTCTTTGTCATAACTCCCAAATCACTCTTAATCACAAATTATAATTATAGCCTAATCATAAATTACATAAAATACAATAATAAAACATTTCTTCCATGTTTGATAATCGTCGGCAAACAATCTATTATTGATCAGTACTCTTGGAAAAACATTACCTATTTTAAAGGTAAGGTTTAAAGTCCAAAGTCGTGACAGACCACGTATAGGCAATTGTCGCTGACTATTACTCCAATAAACAGGTCCTTTTTATAAACAGGTAGTACTGTAAAAAAAACCGAGACTTGTGTCTCAGGGTGGTTGGCTACATTAACGTGGTTGATGTCTATGGGCTACAATGACCTGCTAAAATTAGGTGAGCTGTGGGCTCGTCCCGGTCCCAGTCCTGGTCGAAACAAATCAGGCAAATGAAAAGTCGACTGAAGCCGACCATTTTCCGGTGAACCATTTATTGCCCATTTTTGGACCCTGATGGGAGATAATGTAGTGGTTTTATTCTAGGCCCAAACCATACAGTAATTCAATTAGCGTTATGGAAACTTCTATTGTATACCTAAAATGGTTTCATTTTAGAAAATGACTTCAGAAGAACACTTTCCAGTCAAAATGAAAGACGCGATCAGCATAAATCTAGAAAATGAAGAATTACATTTAAAAACGAAACTGGAAGTCAATAATTATGCTACTAGTGAAGGTCAAACTTCAGTAGCATTTCAACAAAATAATGTTCAAGATATACGCATCCAATGTAATGAACAATCTGTCCAAAACAATCACCCTCAGGTAGACTGTAATGAGACAAACGATCATGGAAGAATTAATAATATTGCCGATAATCAGACTTCGATCGAAATTAAAGATAGCTCAAATATAGAAGAAGAAAATATAGAAGATCAATCAATAAACCTTAGTAATTATGATAATCCCGAGACAAAAACACAAATAACAGATGTACTAGTTGCGAACCAAGATGAAAATGCATCTCAAAACAAAGATTTGAGTAAAATCAATATAAAATCGTATATAGAATTAGAAGGAAACACGATTGGTTTACTAAAACAAGAAGAAATACCGGCGTGTGTGATTGAAGCGTGCGAGGAATTAAAAATGAACGAAATATCAACTGACGATACTGAGAGCAATAATGTAGATGACGAAATAGTCACTGACGGTCCAGAAACGGATCAAATCGTTAATCGAACGACAGAAGACGTTACACCAATAAACACCTACACGCGGCACGAAGAGCTAAACCAAAAACTCAGCATCAAAGTCGAAGGCGGTCAAAGTGAGATGAGCGTGAACGCTGGCACTAGAGCTGATGAAGCTGATCTGCGTGAAGCCAACGTCGACAATGTCAGTAATGCCGACGCCACAGACGCCGGAATAAATGTGAAGACAGAACATTTCACATACGGCGATTTCAATAAGGACTGCCCAAAGAGTCAACTAGTTATAAAACAAGAATATGACGATATATATTCCGAGGGTGTTTCTCAAAGCAGTGATTGCTCTATAAAGATTTTGTCGGTTGGTACTTTGAAAGATGAACTAAAGCGCCAAGAATGCGGGATTCCAGATTACAGTGACGCAGTCAAACTGGAGGCTACCGGAGATGACTTCACTTCGTTCGATTATCCTAATTACGATGACAGCATGGACAGCAATGAGGCCGCAGCTTTTTGTAGAGTCGAAACTTGTCTCCAAGAAGACGGACAGAGGATCGAACGTAATCAGATCTATGATGTGAGTGATCTATTTTTACTTATCGCTTTTAATGTACCACATTTATCTTCTTAAATACGAATTTCTCGCCGGATCGTCTCAGTGGGTAGCGGTTCCGATCCCGTGGTAGATTCAGATAAGCACTGCTCTTGTTAGGGCTAATGTTAGCAACTCATCTCCCATTGGAGCCCATGAATTCACCACTCAACTCAACTTGAGAGAATTTGCTAACACTAAACCTAGCAGTGCTTTGCAGAATCTACCACCGGATCGGAATTGTAACCCATTGAGAAGATCCGGCGAGAAACTCATTGGGCTGTGTTTATGGGTTAGTTCGCTCGTCGAACTCTTCGTCGTAATCGACGAGTTCGACGAGGACGGTGACCGGTGCTTGAGGATCCTAAAAGCACTGTGAGTTAATCCGGGGGATCCGGGGGATCCGGGAAGACATGTTTCGGGCGACGGCTTTTTTGCCATGCCTAGGCGACCTGGGTTAGAAATGTGAGGACTGTATCGGCGGAATTACACCATACAACTACACGTTGGACCGTTTTGGACTCTGCCGGTAACTCTCCACCAGGCGGATCGGGTCATTCCGCGTGGGTAAAACGATGAATAATAAAAGTGGTGATTTTCAATGAAAAGTATGGTACCCAAATAGATAAAATTCAAAGAACAGACTTTTTCATCATCGATCATGTAGCGTGAAGTCACATGTAGTATATCGTTGTGTTAGGTCGATGTATCCCCTCTGGTGACGTCACCAGAGCTTTGGCGGCAAATTTTGAAAAATATCTGCCAGATCTATCTAGATCTGGCCGATTCTTTATCGAAGTAAATTATTAGGAATTTAAAAAAGTATTCTCTCTTTTCAGGATAAACAAGACTTGTATAGAGTAATCAAGGAGGAGGAACACTTGACGGTGACCGACACACATATAATTTCCAACAAGCTCACCAACACGTCATTGTACGCAAACCCCTATGATGTGCTGATAAAAAGTAAAAAAGGATTAGTCATGGAAATACGACCGATGTCCGGGCGAAATTTCGGTATGAAATCCGGCAACCCAGAAGAGATATTGCCAACAATCGACAACTACGACGATTACGAAGCTTTCCAATTGAATTCGATCACCGGAGACGTTGCGTCTCTCGAGCAAGAAGCCTACGGCCTCCTGAAANCAAACCCCTATGATGTGCTGATAAAAAGTAAAAAAGGATTAGTCATGGAAATACGACCGATGTCCGGGCGAAATTTCGGTATGAAATCCGGCAACCCAGAAGAGATATTGCCAACAATCGACAACTACGACGATTACGAAGCTTTCCAATTGAATTCGATCACCGGAGACGTTGCGTCTCTCGAGCAAGAAGCCTACGGTCTCCTGAAAGCTAAAACGAAGACGACACGCAGAAAAAAGCACGTTTGTCCGAAGTGCGGTAATGCCTACGCATCAGAAACATGCCTGAAGAGGCACCTCAAAGTCCACGACACTATTGAGAAGCAAACGAAAACTTCGGTGAAGAGACAAAAGGCTAAAATCGATAATCAGAGTAAAAAAGTCGATTCGCTGAAATCGAGTATCCGCAAGAAGAAGAAAAACGCTGTCAATGAAACTAAAGTGGAAAAAATCGACATAGAACCAATCGCGGAGAAGAAGACGGACAAAGAAGGCTACGTGTGCATCTGCGGCGACGTTTTCCGGCGCAGGATTCGTATGGAGACCTGCATGAGGTCGCACAACACGGACCCCGACGTGAGTCACGTCAAGTGCACGACTTGCTCGAAGAACTTCAATAGCAAAGAGGAGTTGGCCTTCCACAGGAAACGAGTCCACAGGAAGCGGTTTCCTTGCAAGTTCTGCCCCACGGACTACGACACCGGGAAGGACCTATTCGAACACCTGAAAATCCACCGGCAAGTCCAATTGACCGAGTTCAAGGTTATATCGGAGATGGTCAACGGTAAGGAGATATTAAAGTGTTTTATGTGCAATAACTCTTTTAAGGAGCTACCTCAGCTGAAGCGTCACGTGATGGAAGATCACGTAGAGCCCTACTCGTGTAGGTACTGCAGAGCGGCGATCCCTAATATTATCGACTTCGCGAACCATATTAAATCGTTTCATCCCGAAGTCGAAGGTCAGTCACTCCTGGACGTTCTCGAGGCCTTCTCCAAATTGGTGCAAGCTTGGAAATGTGAGGAATGCGGCATGCAGTTCCACGAAGCAGATAAACTGGCCCTGCATCAGGCGGAGACTCACAACCCAGACTTAAGAGAGCAACTTCAGATACAATGTGAAGATTGCCGGAGAGTGTTCGTTAGTCACAAGGGCCTACAGTCTCACAGGAGAGTGCATCACAGCGTCGAAGTCGAGTCCGCGCCGCCTGAGGAGGCCGGGGTCATGTGTGTGGAGTGCCGCAAGATGTGCAAGGACATGGAGGCGCTGACGTCTCACATGAGGCTGCACTCGCCCGAGAGGAAATTCCCCTGCAAGTTCTGTGATTTCCGCTTCGCCACCGCGGAAAAGAGGAGAGTCCACCAGGAGCTACACACTGGCGACATGAAGTACGTCTGCTTTATATGCGAGTACCAGTGCACGTCGGAGAACCGGTTGAAACTGCACAAACGATCAGCCAAACACCAGAGCATGAAGGAGTACCTGCTGTCTGGGGCCTCGCTGACCGAAGAGAAGCCCGCAGCGAGCGAAGAAAGGAAAAACAAGAAAGAGACAAGATTCAAAAAGAGGAAGAAAGAAAGAGACAGAAGCGCGAACAGTGGGTCCTCTGTGAGCTCCGTGCTGTGCGATGTGTGTGGTGACAAGTTTCCTAGCAAGAGCCTGATGCTGGAACACAAACAGTCGCATCCCTTCATAGAGTTCCCCAACGAAGACAAACCCACTAGGATATTCTTCAAATATCACTAAACTTAAACTAATGCAACATTTGTATAGTAGAGTAAGAACCCAGGGCCACCAGACGTCACGTATTTTCTGACGAACGAAATGTGGCCGATTGCGTAGTGTTAGCATCAGAATTTACGTGAAGTTAGGTAATTATTTTGGGAGCTTTAAAGCGTCTGCAAAGCAATTCGGCCGACAGAAAGTGTCTGGGAGTATTGGCGACATATTTTTAAGGATATTGCCTAAAATATACGTAAAAATTAGCTTTCAGAATTTACGTGAAGTACGTAATGGTTTTATGTACCTTGAGTACCTGATACCTGAAAATTGGCCGTCTAAGCAAAGTAGCAGGTAGGCATGCGTTCTTAGTACATACTAACACTGCGCAATCGGCCACATTTCGTTCGTCAGAAAATACGTGACGTCTGGTGGGTGGCCCTGGGATCTTGGACTATAGTGTGATATAATATTATTGTAAATATTAAAAAAATAACAACATTGAAATCTTGCCCTATACCTGAAAATGTACAAATTGTTTTAAGATTATTCTGGTAAAGAAATCCGTTTGTATATTTAATACGTTGAAGCGTTAATTCTAAATCACGGATGCCTGCCTGGTTTATTAATTAGAAATGTACTAACCGTGTACTTTGTTATAAATGTTATGTTGTAATTTACTATGTAAACATATTCTAAAGTGTTACTTAATATAATATTTATGACTCACAGATTATATTTTCATAGACAATACTCGTTGTGCTTTGGTAAAAACTGCCTTTTATACTAACCCCGGGCTCGGAATGTACGCTGTAAAAAAAAAGAGTTGCTTTTAGATTTTAAAAAGTAGTTATAATTATTTTGAACGTTTTAAAGCACTTAAAAAAGCAGCGACATAAGTGCTAATAATATTATTGGTATGATTTCGAAATGAGTGACATTTTTAAAAATTTTTTTAGCACTATTTTTTCCTGCTATATTTTATTTCCCTCAAATAAAAGTACTATATTGAATACAACTCTATGACGTGTGACGCCATTTGTATATAAGTTACATTATGTAAACATACACGTACGATATACGACATCGATTTGCGATAACGTGAAAATTGTTAAAACACAAGTCATTAATATTTCACAGAGTAGTGTTTGGTGATCTTTTTAATTTCATTGAAATTCCTTTTAATTACTATTTAAATTTTCATACCATTGTTGTTCGGAGACTCTCTGAGCCTCTCAGTTAAAACTGATTTTACTTAAAAACCATAGACTTTATTTTCATAAGTTCAAAATATTACATTCGTTTGCCTATAGTTTTGTCAACAAGGAATTAAAAAAAAAAACAGTTTTATTGTATTTCAATAAATGCGCTCAAAATTTTTGATTTACTCAAAAAGCATGAATTATTTTAAGAACTTAATACATTACTCGTAAAGTTCTATTTTTTTTTTGAACTAATAATTCTTTTTTACATATATTTTTTCGAATATACTTTTGTGCCATCTAGCCAAGGTCTTTGGTCGATTAGGGATACGGTTAACCTAACCCTGTCGAATATGGCCGTTTATGATGAACTACGTTTATTGTCTATGCCACTAAACAAAGTAGGTTTGTCGCTTGCGTTTGTTTTTTAGTCTTTGAATGGGGACTTATTTTTATTTTCCCCAAAGATGTTATTTATTCAAGCGTGTACAAAAATGAGTAAGATAGAAACATTTGGTTGTGGCCCACCTAGATATATAAAAAAGGGTGGAAATAGTATTTTATGACGTCACTTGAGTCGCGGGCTCCACAGCGTGTTGCAGCTGCCACTATTTTTATTTATTATAAAAAAAAAAACCTTCGATTGATTTTCCGAAAAGGTTTTTTTTAACTTAATTTAAATAAAATAATTATCTTACCCGTCAGGTGTTAAATAATCTACTCAATCGAACAGGTGATGTTATTGAAGTTTTTGATAAACGCAGTGGTTATTCCGGGGAATGCCTGTCGTTTTATCGGTCTCATTGTGATATCATTGCAATAATTCAGTACGTTATGTAAGTACTTAAGGAGCGGTCTCTTAATATTTAAGATTAAAATTTGTAAATAGAAACATTTTTAGTGTATGTTATGATTAACATAAATATTAAAAGGTGTTTTTCAATTCGTTGTATTTTTTTTTGTTTATAAAAACAAAATGTCATTTATCATCTTTATGTCAAAAATATTGGAATGCATACCGTACAGCTTAGAATATGGAGGGACTTTTTGGCGGGAACGCGAGGCGTGAAGTTGTGTGATTTTTTTTATTTTGTCTATTTAGTGTTTCTTCAGGTTTACTACCAGACTACTCACACTAACAAAATACCTAAAAATTTTTATATTATAACAGATTAATGAAAACAATATTTGGCCTAAAAATGTACCATACAGCAGTGATTGCGCGGGCCAACATTGGTCGATCACTCCCTACCCTCAACCTCGTTTGAAAAAGAATGTCACAGCAGTCAGGAACATAGTGTCCATTGCTTAGTCATATTTATTCCACTTGTGTAGCAAAAATCCTTTTTTTTGGTCAGGAGGAAATCGCCCGACTTCCGCCCTCCAATGGGTATGGCGGGCGGAGCATGTCGGAGTCGAGCCGACTAAAACCTGTCGCTCAACAAACAACGTCCAAACCTCGCATGGGACAGAACTCATGAAAAGGCAAAGGGGGGAAAGTGAAACGTTTAGTGCGGAGCACATCTCTCCCATCATCCTCCCCCTCGAGACCGGCGATCGTCGGCGCCACGACCCCCAGCCCTCTCGGTCGGCAGGCTATCCGAAGTCCGCCTAGATGGCGCCGGTTATAGTGAGTTATCCTACGGAATACCCCGCTGGGTCAGAATCAGCGTGTCGCGACAAGTCGTTTTCTATTTTTGCGACGAGGACACGGCGCCACCTCTCCCATGCGGGGCAGGCGACGAGCGTGTGCTCCGCCGTGTCCAAGTCGCAACCACAATGGTAGCACTCTGCCGTCCGCTCGGCTCCGATCCGGTACAGGAACTCACCGAAGCAACCATACCCAGTGAGCACCTGCATGAGCCGGAAAGTGAGGTGTCCTCTGTCGCGATTCACCCAATCCACAAGGACCGGGCGAATCGCCTCGGCGGTCCTACGACTAGCCGAAGGATCAGCCAACCCTCTGAACCATGACTCCATTCCAGCAAAAGCTTAAAATTAACTGACCCAAGAGGCAAGATTTAATATCTACGAAGAATTTAATTGATATTAAAAACAAATATAGTCAACATGAATAATACAAAACACATTTTTTAACAATTTTTTTATTACGAGAACTCGTCTATTACCCGTCATATAATGACAAAATACTTTCAGGATCTCACCGTTCACAAACAAAACTGTATATTTTCCTAAAGGGATATTCGACAATCACAGAACACAAAGAACCTCTCACATTTCAACTTAAAACATATTTTTGTAACAACCACAAAAGTTGTAAAACCAACACCAGTGTTGCCAGTTATGAAAATTATCATTTACAGAAATCACATACTAAAGTACTCTCACTTAATTAGACATAGCATCACGATCAGTTTTCAAAATAATTCGGTGATTAAAAACCATGTCATCGCAATTAGAACATTGCACGTGCATATTTGTAAAAAATTTACTTATGTAATTTAAATTCTTAATATACATTCTGTAATCATGCAATTATCTATTGCATTCTCTAATACGGGTATTGGCAGTGTCATTGATAATTATCGATTATTCTTTAGATTATTCTTATGGAATCGATAAATAAAATATTTAATCGATTATAGACAAGAGGATAATATTGTGCATCAATTTGAAATAACTTTAACGGTGATGTAAATGCATTGGTTTATTTTATATTTTTATTAAATTAAAAATTGTTTTAAAATATCATGTAAACGATACAGACATCTGATGACCGTTTGATCTATAACTAAATTCAATCAATCACTGTCATTCGTATGATATCAATAAAATTAGTTTACAATACACATTTCTAAGAGACATTAGACAACTCTGTTAGTGTTTATCATCCGCTTTTGTCGATAAATTAATATTTATGGTTGTGCTACTCCGTAACAATAGGCAATCGGTAAGTTTTTGGTGTACAAAATTCCAAGCAATATCGCGCAAACGTAACTCCGATTCGTGTGACGTCATTTGGGGCCAAAATCCAGGAACTAACGATAGATCTTTTTTTTTGGTACGATTTTTCCTTATTAGGAACGACAAGGGGATCCAAGCCCATACAACCTTTAAACATAGATCGTGCGCATAATACAATCAAAAACCACATGTGACATCACGCGTTGAAGTTGCCGGTTTGTCTGAAGTTAAGAAAACGTTGTGCTATTCAATTTTATACAGCGAATAAAAAATTTGATCATTATTATAATAATTTATTAAATTAGTGATTTTTTTTTGAATGATCTTTGGTTTTGATCTAATAAGAACCCGCACAACGGTGCGCTAACATTTTCTCGGTTGTTTCTCGACCAAATCTTTTGTTCGCGTCTAGGAGTTATCGAACAAGCCCCGATGCTATCTATGTGTCTATGTTTAAACGTTATTAAGAAAGCTAAAGAGAAAGATGTCAAACGAAGCTAGACCTTGAGTTGTCTGTCATTATAGTCGAATTTCATCTGGCGAAAATCATTTACATTTATTGTCCGGTTGCCTATTATTAAAAAAAAATCTGAATTTCTCTTCCAATCATTCGTCACGTGTTTGTGACATAAAGAGTACGAAGCCATAGACGCGGATCCAATATTATATGTATGTGAACAGAGAAATTCGGATATGTCAATTCATTTGACATGTCAATATATCTGACATAGTCAAATTTCGAGCTAATTCCTATCTAAGAGGCGATCGACGAATGCAGATCACGTACACTATCAGAGCGTCGAGTGTCGCATCAGTAGGCGAAGGTGATGGTCCAGGGTCTGGCCATGCTAGCGGCCGGCTTCCTCAGCACCAGCACGTCGTTGCCCTTGTGCAGCGTCATCTGCAGCGCCGTCTGCCGCCCGTCCTGCTGCAGCCGGGCGCTCCGCGGCGCCGCCCTGATGCCGGCCACCACCACGCGCTCCAGCCACGCCCCGGTCGGGTACTGGGCGCCCTCGCTCGCGAGCCTGC